TGTCGGCAGAACGTGGAGCAGCCCAGCTCAGTCCGGACAGCTGAGTCCCGCTGGACAAAAAATAAATAAATAAATAAAAATAGACTCATCTGGGTCAGTTTTTAACCCAAAATACATGAACAAAAACGGTGCTTATGGTTCAAACAAAGACTCTGTGTGCAAAACATAACATTTGTTACCCACAACCTACTTTTAAAAACGTTTCCATGAGGAAAACGAGCCTAAGTTATGCTTACTATTCTACCCCCCCCCCCCCCCAGCACATCTTGCTCAAATCATTTTATAACATTTTTTTATTTATATTTTTTGGATAAATGATAAAAATCTGAATGTTTTACCATGGAATAGCTGATAAGTCCTCCATAACGTGAAGTCGGCTTGGTGTGGGTCGCTCCCAGTTGTTCAGTCGTGTCCGGTGTGTGTGTGAGAAGCAGCCACGGTGTGTGTGTGTCCCAATCACACCCGAACCATGTGCAACATCCTTCCTCTGTCAACAACACGGGGAGGTGAAACTGATTTTGTCAGAGTGACGCAGTTTTCCATAACGCCTTTTTTAAATGAGTCCAACACCCAGAACAGAACTCGGTTCTGTAACTCCACCCAAAATCGCCATAAAGGGGAAAAAAATCCCCCTGTGGCTGTTCAAAACATCACAGCTTTCAGAATAAATGGACCAAATACATCTCAGGAATCACAAACCCAACTGAAGGGTTCTTTCTTTGTAATGCCAGTGGTCCCCCCCCCCCTCATAATATTATTATTTTTTATTCTTATAATTCACAAATAACATTTAGAATTTACACACATAATATGTATCATTAAAGGTACTTATTGCTAACTATAAAATACACTTAATACTAGGCCTAAAGTGTAGCTATAAAGAGTTTACTCAAGTAGGTTTTCTACATAATGTGCATTTCTGCAATGCAGGTACGCACTCAATGTAATCAAAGCACTAAGATGAATCTTTATTAGACCACACGTCAAGTGACTGTCGAGATGGGACTTATGGCTCTGAAGGGAACCAGATCTTGTGGACATGTTGGTTTCAAAGAGCAGTTTAGCTCTGATGTCACCACATGACCTCATGGCGTAGGCCCACAACATAGACCAGGGCTATTCAACGAAATTGCTCAGAGGGCCACAGTTACTAACGCCTCTTTTCCACTATGCCACTTAGTGTAGGGTTGGTTCGGTACGGTTCCAAGCCAATTTCATTAGGCCAGATTCATGGAACCAGCCCTTTTTTTAGTACCTACTTTGTTGTGGTTCCAAGGGGTCCCAGTCGACACCAAAATGTGAGGTCAGAACACTGTTTGTCACTTATTTGCTATGGGGTGCAGTCCCTGTGCATCTGAGCTGCCTTTACAACAAATCGAGGTGCCTTTTTTTTTTTCATTTGTAGCAGTGACAGTAGCCGTGTTTCCATCCAATTTTAATTCAAAATTTTAGCAATTTTTAAAAAATTCGCAAAAAGAGGGAAAAAAAGAAGAAACGCGAATCAGACGTGTTTCCATCAACTGATGCGAATCAACCAGGCTACGCATTGTGTGATTACGTCAGACGCATGGCTGTGGTAAATAGGAAGTACAAGTCGCAAAATTCGCAGAGACACATCCCAGGACAATGGAGAAAAGTTATCAGGAACTTGTTGCGATTATCGGGAAAGTTGTACTTATTCTGTCATATCAAATAGTTTTGACGATGTTACTTGCTGTCCGGAGACGTCCAAAAAGAAATGTGATTCTCCTCATTTTACGGGTATAACTGAGAAGACGCCGACAGCAGGAGGAGGGTCCAGCTGCAGTCCCTCCGGTACCGGTTCAGAACTTATTCGGCAAATGTGTTCCCATCTCTCATTTTGCGCATTAACTCTTTTTCAAAAAGCCCAAAACCCACCTCCACCTACCGCCCAAAACACACCCACTGGAACCGGACTGGAACGTCAATGGAAAAGCACCCGAAATGACCCGTTCCGACTGACCATACCGGCACTACACTAAAAGCCAACAGGGCCGAGGGGTTGAGGTAGGCACTGCCCGAAACACAGTATGCTTAGTATTGTTGTCCTTTACCTTTTTGATTGGTTTATTTTGTTGCATTGCAGTACAGATTGTACACAAGGTATTTGTTTGTAAGTATTTTAACTTTCTTACTTTTATGGTTGTTTTATTCTTGTTTGTCTTTTATTGACAATGTCTTTAATTGTGCTTTGATATCTGTAGTTTTGGGATTTTGTAATGTGAGGCCTTGAATTTTTAACGAGATAAACAATGTAAAAGGCTAATAAAAAATAAAATCTGAGCATTAATACAAACCAATCCATTAAAATCTGACTTCTCGATCGCAAATGGCTCCTCCACAGATATTATTGTTGACCTATTTTCAGTCATTTTTGCTGTTTTCATAGGATAAAAAAAGGCAAGTTGTATTTGAGAGCAAACAAATTTCAAATTTCTCTAAAAGGTATCAGTGGACTATGCCAGGGGTTTTCAAATGTTTTGGGTCTGGGGACCCCTTACCAGGGTGAAAAATTTCCAAACACCATGCTGTTTTAAAAATAGTCTACTGTCATTTTACCTCCTAAATGCAATGGGAATAGTATCTTTTGTTTGGTTTAGTATGGTTGTTTTACTAGTGCATTGTTCTCCACTTGCATTTTTTAAAATAAAAATCAAATGAACAATTTATTGAAAATCTTTGAGGACCCCCAAGACATGACTCGCGAACCCCTGGGGGTCCTGGAACTCCAGTTTGAGAACCTCTGGGCTATGCCATAATTACTTTTTCAATGTAGTACAATAATCCACTTTAACTGGTGATAGAAGTTAAAAAAAAAGACTTGAATTCATCCACTATCGCTGAATTATCTCTTAGTCTGTTGATAAACATCTGGTCAAAATTTGCCTTTTTAATAATCTGCTGTAACGCTCAAATTTGCTTTATTTGCAGCTACCAGGAAAAAAATAAACAAAAAGAAAAAATAAACAAGTGCAGAACATTTGTGAAACATTTTTAAAGGAAAAACTTTGTAAAAAAAAAAAATGCACGCCAGGAAACCTTCTGAATCAGAGCGGTTTTATCTGTGTTGTGTAACGAGAGTAAAGGCCGTGAGTTTTTTTAAAGTGGCAAACATTTTTTGGCCTGGCCTGAGTGGGAGTAGAAGAGAGCGTGGGCGGACAGAGCCCGGCACAGATACAGAGGAACCGGTTGATTGGCAGCTCGTTCGTGGTGGATCAAAAAATTTGGTTTTTAAAAGGCCTGCATGTCAAACTCGATCGTCTGCATTCGCCTCGATCAGATCAGTCTAGAAAACAAAAACGAAACAACGGAGTGAACGCACACACGCAGGGTCATATACGGATTAAGGAGTGACTGTAAATCATAAACCTATAAAACAAATATGGCATTGCGCAAATCACTAACTGTCCCCGACGCCATTTGTTTGCTCAAAGGAAGACTCATGGTTTTTCAAACAAATAAGCTTTGATTTCACTTTGAGCACTGAAGTGAGCTGCTGCACGTCACACAGGACAGAACAAATGTAGGCGTTTGTCGTAGAATACAAACTAATAATGTCTACTTCTAAGGCCTTATTTGAAGATATTTTCAAAGTGTTTCCACTGAGCTGTGGGTGTTGAGGGCGACCCGGAGCTCTGGGAGATGCCGTTGGGGTGGGTCAGTGTTTCACAGCCAAGGTCATTTCATTTCCTGCTCTCAGAGACCTCCGTCCCCTCACAGCTGTCAGTGCAGTCAGAAGCCCACCTTCCTCATCTGTAACCACCCCCAACTTAAAACTTTTTTTTTCAAATCTGTGGAAGATAGAAAACAAAAAACCCTAAAAGCTAACAAGAGTTTCAGCTTCGACAACAGCCTGGTTGTTAAGTTCCCATCAAACCAGAAACCAGCAGATGAAATTTTGAATGTCTGTATAGATAAATATCTATTTCACAATGCCTCATGCTGGAACAGGGGATGAAGAAAGTAGGTGTTAACATGTGTTTTCTGTGGCGAATATATATTTGTGTGGGTGGGTGATGTGCTGACACGGTGACACAGGGAATTCTCGTATAGAGGAACCAGCTGTGGACAAACGTGTAATAGTAATTAGAGCACCGCTACAGGCCCGCCGGCCTCAAAACGTCACGCTCGCTCGTGTTTGAGTTTCACATTCTTTTCAGCTGCAATGCTGTCTCTCCGGTAAAACTTTCAGGAACTGGTGGTGGTGACTAAATAACACAGACCCACACACACATGCTCACGGACATTAGCAATGCGTGAGCATGTCAACAAATATGCTACATGTGCAGCTTCTGCAGGTGTAACCGGAACAAATTCATATCGATTGATTGAACATTGTTGTGGAGTAGCTACCACAGCTTACATAAGTAGAATTCTCATCTAATAATCGTTCAACGGCGGGGAGAAATTCTTGGGAAACTCTCTGATCTGATTTGTTGCGCGCCACTGTTTCCGCCCACCACTTCCTGTAGCCTGACATGGAATATTTAGGTTTCTGTGTTGACATGAAACACACATGCCCGAGTTTGGGATTAATACTGCTTCTTACGTGTAGCTACTGTTAAGTGGTTTTGTGGGTGATTTGAAACACACACCCTTTACTTTAATGGCTTCAGGCTGAAGGATCTGAGGTCAGGTTTGACAAGTTGGAGGCGATAGGAAAGATCCGGGCTCATCAAATGTCTGAGTAGGCTTTGCACTGCAGACCTTTGACCTCTCTCTCTCTGTGTGTGCAGAAAGCTGAGGCATCAAAAAACCATCAGCCGCCGTGAGGCAGGGGAGGACAAGCTGAGGAATGATGTGACAAATGATGTTTGATTGCAGAAAAGTTCAAGAAGACTGAGAACCATAAAGAAAAGCTAATGTAAAAACATTACAGAATGCTTTCAAAGAGCCAGCACTCACATCACTTACCACCATTCATGCCAGAGATTTAAACTAAAATCATCTAAAGCTGAGAATGGATGGAGTTACAGATCAAACCTTGGGCATGAGGGTAATCTCATGTAATATTGTGAGATCTGGCTATCTGTGAAACTAAAGCCATTTTGGTTAAGTTTGATTAGCTTTGCCAGCAGGAGTTTCACTAAAAGCTGTCCTAAGGTTGGGAAATATTTTTTAATGCTACAGTCAATAAGCAGACGCACAACCAAAAACATTAATGGAAGTTAGTGATAAATGTAACCCAGGGTAAAAACTGCCCTTAGTCCCGCCTTTGCTGCTCCATTGGTTAGAGTGACAGTCAGTCACACAGTGCATTCAGCCAATTAACGCACCTGAGGTATTATTTGGGCCTGCTCCAGCTTTCCCAGTCAGGTGTGAGGGGGAGAGCTGGAGACAAAGGAGCTACAGGTTGGTGCTTCCAAACAATCAGTTCATCTCTTTGTTTGTTCGGCATTTCTTTTAAACTTACAATATGAAAATCATGTAGATCTGAACATCCAGTGAGCTTGGAGCCACGAAGCTGTCATGCACTGAACTATAAATGGAATTGGTGAGTAGTGAAGCCAATGTTGTTTGTTTTGTTTAGCATCTTGGTGGTGGTAGCCAATGCTAATTGTTGATCAATTGTCATATGATCTAATTCTTTAAATTCAACATAATGAGATGTTTTATTTTGTCTGAAAGATTAGATTTAGGATATAATTGCATTTATTTCTATATGTAACTGAAAAAAGTCTAGTTAACTAGCAGGCTGGTAATTTACTGGTCCTGTTTATTTTAATACAG